GTCATGGCCATGCCTGGAGGGTCAGCACAGTGGGAGGTCCTAGGTCATGGCCATCCCTGGAGAGGTCAGCACCCCAGCCCTTCCTCTTTTACCAGTTAGCTGATGGCTATGTTCAGCCATGTGCTGTGTTCCTGCCATGATGTGCTGACCCCACATGGACCACAAAGCAGCAGAGACTCAACCCTGAGCCTAAACAAAGTCTCTTCTTTGTAAGTTGGTTGTCTCAGGTGTTAGTTACGGTGATAGGAAGCTAACTAGCATGGCTCGCCATGGAAGCCACCTACGGCTCAGGGCTAATCACGATAGTCCCTTGGGGTCAACAGGGGGCTGGCCCCTTGCTGGAAGTTGAGCACTATAAAGGAGAGGACCGTAGGCTCACTTGCTGCCTCCAACCCAGGGTGAGTTTCCAGGACAGGATACAGGGTCCTGCACCTCTAGCTACCAAGCTGTTACGAAGTCCAGGCAGAAGAGGGCAACAAGCTTATTGCTTATGTCTACAGCCTTACTTCCGGAAGGCCCCTCGCAGTGTAAACCAGCTCAAGTCCACTTAGAAGAATCAAGCACAGCTGTGGAGTGGACCATTTCCTCAGGAGACACAGAGTTGAACAGCACCTTGGCTATGGGCCCCCGGCCAACACTGAGACATGACTTTGTGTTCAAGAAGGCAGGCTGCTTCTGTGTGTGGTCTCAGGCCGTTCCAATGGGTCCTGACCATGGCTGCACAGATGGACAAGCAGGCCCTATGGGCACCGTCACCTGGGCTCTGAAAAGTAGGCAAGGGCTTCCCCATTCAGAGCTTCCTGTGGGTGGCCAGGCCACTATCTAGAGGTTACCAAGTTAGATCGTAGCCATTTGGTGACAGCGCCACTCTCTTTGTGGCTCCTCAGGAGATCAAAGCTTATTGTTCAGTTGAGTTCACCAGATGGTGTGACTGCTGCCCAGGGGAGACCAACTGACCCTGGCTGGGTTTGGGAGCGAGCTTTCCTCAGAGAGACATGAACTGAGACTGAGAGACACAGAGAGGTGTCTACTGGGACTGAGAGACAGCCAAGAAACGACCCTACACTGGCCAGGGGAGACAGAGCTGGGGACACTGGGGGCTCCTGTGTTGCCTTCCTGAGTCCCACAGCTCCGGAGTCCTGACAGCCCTGTGATGGGCGCTCACCTCACACACATGTCTGCCTCATATTTCTTTCCATAGAGGATCCCCAGCAGAGACGGGTTCTTGTTCCCTCTGAAGTTCAGCGTCACATCGTAAATAGCTGCAACTGTGGGGAGGAGACGGGGCCAGTGAGTGATGGACGACGGGAGGCCCTCTACAGCAGCGACATCACCGCCAGACAAGCCACTCTCACACTTGGGTCTGCCCCTGGCAGAGCATGGGCTGACTTCACTCCCCGCTGTCTGCCAAGGACTCACACCCTCTCCACTGGTGGTTTGCCCCGGGCCAGTGCTCTTGGCCCCTCTCTGTGGCTTATGTAACCTTTTCCAGGTGAACCAGCCATCTTTTCTCGGGCAGTCTCCTTTACGATGTTCACAGTAGTTACATTTTACTAGTCTGACAGTTTCCCACTAAATAGGACTTCATCATCCCCAAAGACATTAAGGATCTTACGACATGTCAGTCCTGCTTCCTCGATTCTTCCCTGTGCTTCGGCTATATTTTCTATTTTCTTTTTTTTTTAAGTTTTTTTTTTTTTTTCTTTTTCAAGACAAAGTCTCATGTAGTCCAGGCTAGCCTCAAACTATGTTCCTGAGGATGACCTTAAATTTATACAGCTGAAAATGATCTTCTGATCCTGAATCCACCTCCTGAGTGCTTTGACTATGGGATTCCTGGTTTATGGGGTGCCGGAAAAAAGGAGCTCATGTATATCTCAGGCAAATCCTTTAGCAACTGAACGACATCCTAGCCCCATTTCACTCCTTGCTGCACACAGTAGCCCAGAAGGCAGTGGTGGGCTCCACCTTCTCACCACAGGCCCCAGTCTCCTACCTGTGCCCCGGAGGCACTGGACTGCAGTGGTAAAACCCTTGGTCCGGGGCAGCAGGTGGTACTTGAGCGGGGGCAGCCCCTTGGAGGCGGCCACCTCCATGCTGATGCGGTGCTTGGTCTCCGTGAAGCGTGTCCCTTCGCAGTACAGGAGAAACTAGGTGCAGAACGAACACAGGGTAGGGAGGGTTATTCCAAGACAGCAGGGACAGAACGGCCCTGCCATTCGAGGCCCGTAACGCCCCAGCTCTCACATGCCACAGCAGCACAGCACACACTGCTGCCTGGGTGGAGAAAGAGAAGCACAGAGCCACGCAGCGATGAGCATGTGGCGACATTGGAGCAGTGTTTTAGTTTAGGGCTGCAATCTGTGCTCCAGTCACACAAATGCATGCCTACAGAACGGTTTTCCTGAAAGAACTCTCCGGAAGAGAAAGCCGAAGAAGGTGCCTCTGGGCAGCAGCCTTTGAGCAGACAATAGAAAGCACCTGCTGGCCCCAAACACGATGTGAGAAAGGTGAACTAAGAAGCCAGGTTTCCAAGAGTAGACAATGAAGCAGATGAGAAACGCTGTGTGGGGATGGCTCTCCCACCTCCCAGCACCACAGAGGGTGTGTGCCAGAGCTGGGCTTGCAGCAGAGGGGACAGTTAGAAGCTATGTCTTCGGACAGAGGCCAAGTCCGTAAGTCTGGGATGGTGTGTGTGTGTGTGTGTGTGTGTGTGTGTGTGTGTGTGCATGTGTGAGTGTTTAGGGTAGAGATCAACCTACTCAGGGACTGGTCACCTTGCTTTTTGAGACAGTGAGCCTCAGAGACCCCCATGTCTCCACCTCCTCAGTGCTGGGATTAGTCCTGTGCCCCACCACAGCCTGGCTTTTCTATTTGTGTTCTGGGCTCAAGCACGGGTTCTTACACTTGTGTGGCAAGTACTTTACCAAATGAGCCATTTCCTCAGCCAGAGAGTTTACAGCCAACTTCCATGTTGGTTTCTGACAGCCTCCCCAACCCCCAAGGCAGCTCCTAAACATCAGTAATTTCAGGCAGCTTTCTCTAACACGGCACACAGGAAGACTGAGTTGCACCCACAAGCTACTGTCATGTCTCAGTACACACAGCACACTCACCCACATGTACTCTGGGTAGTTAGCCAAGCGCTTCAGTCCCTCTATGACAGTGTCCCGGTCTTCCTCCCACTTCCTCTTGCAGAAGACGATCTCCAGGAAGTACCATGTCCAGCCGATGAGAGGCACGTACAGCAGCTCCCTCTTAGCCAGCACCTTGGAGCTCTGCGGGGGGCAGGGAGGCAGTGGCAGCTGTCAGAGGTGGGAGGACCCGGCCAGAAGCCCTCACAGACTTGCCAGGGGCTCTGGCCTTGCTTCTCCTGGTTCAAAGCATTCGTTCTAAATGGGACCCTGGCCTATGAGTGTGTGATCCTTGGATTGTCATCCCTCGGTGACACACAGGGGGCCACCCCGGAAACTATTCCAAAGCCAACCCTTGGGGAGAGGGCAGTGTAGCAGAAAATGGTGGATAGCAGCATCTCAGTTCCAGGTCCCTTCCTGACCTCTACTTTCCTGCTGTGGTTTAGGGGCTTTGGCTGCACTGAAATCCCTGGCCCTCTTAAGTGGAGTTTACAATTCATCTGAGGCCACTTGGCTAACTGCAATTATTCAGTTGACCTTGAGTGGGGTCCTCTGGAAGGGGAAAGGTAGTGACAAGAAATGAAGTCACAGCTAGTCCCAAGAATAGGCAAGAAACTACAGAGGGTGCCGTGAGAAGACACCCCTACCCTCAGCCACACTGCTCACTGGGAAGGGGCCAAGCCGAGAAAGCGCTAAGATCCAAGCTTCCAGAGTCTCCGGGGCTCCATACCCCAGCTGTCCTCCTGGGGCCCCGTCCTGCCATCACCCTCCCAGACCCCCTGACCCCATGGCTCACCCCCAGCACGCCAAAACGCTCGCACATGGTCCACCCACAGAGGAAGTCGATCTCGAAGTTGTGGTTGAGGATAACGACCACGTGCTCCTTCCCAAAGTGGTCCACGGTGGCCTGGTCGGTGAAGAGAGTGCACTCCGTGCAGGACCACCACTCCAGGAGCAGGACCAGCTCTGCGGGAGGGTGGGGTCAGCACTGCAACATGCCCGCCTGGGGTCTCCACCCTCACCCCCACCCGGCCTTTCTCCACGGGCCTCAGACCCGCTTTCATTTTCCCAGAGGGGAACTTTCTTGTAGAGGGCATGGGATGGTAAGCTTTCCCAGATCACAGCTGCATTTGTGTAACGGAAGCTGGGTGGTGGCAAACGGAAGAAGCAGGGCCCTGGAGATCTAAATGGATTGTGTTGCCTCAGTGCAACACCAGGCCGCTTCCATGGTGTCACATGACCACTAGAGCCTGCTTTGTGCAGAAGGATGGGAGCTGTGTCCTGGATGACAGGGAGGGAGAACACCCGAAGGGCTGTGGAATTAACAGCTGGAAAGTGATGGTAAGGTGATGATTCTTTTGCCTACAACTTTCTTGTGTAATTGGTGGTCCATATTCAGTCTTGTCCACCCCAGACATGTGGAAGAGCTCATATGAGACCTATTTCTGCCCAGGAGGCTGTAGGACCCCCAAAGGCACTAGGGGTACTGTGGTCAAAAGCTCGGAGTATACTAGTAGCTGACCTCAGCATCTCCAGAATGAGGAAGGTCACCAGAGCTCAGCCTCCACCTGCCGGCAGCTCATAGGCCAATGACAGGTTCGGGATAAACCAGGACCATGGTATAACCTGTTTCCTTTGCAGGTTTAGGGTTTAGGGGAAGCGCATGTTTACCTTCATAAGAAGGTCAGAGGCTGAAGGTTCCACGGAAAGAGCTTTTTCTGTGTTCACTCAGCACAGAATCTGAACATAAATGAATGGGAAGCACAGGGGACAGGGATCCCATGCACACATGGTCTGTGTGGGGAATCACACCTATTATGGCCAGGCATCTGAGGGTGGACCAGGATGTAACTGCCAAATGTAGGGTGGTCACAGGAAGTGCTGTACTCTGTCAACTGCTCCATTAGAGACCCCCAGAGACTCCCCAAATGAACTGCCCCCTGGGGATGGAGCCAGGGAACACTGCCAGTTTCAAACACAGAGCCCACAAGTAGGGTAAGGCCCTGGGGGCACAGATGCTCCCAACACGGTCCCAGATGAGGCGCCAAATGGTGTAGCTGCTTCGGAACACTGCAGAGGTGGGGGCCCTTAACGATTTCCAAACATATTCAGCACATGGCCAGAAGGGCCCCCCAGGCATATGCCCGAGAGCCACATGCGTGTGCACAAGAACGCCCGCAAGCAGGCTTGGCAGCGCTGCTAGAGAGCGGTGATGGTCCTCCCCAGACAGGCTACTGCCCAGGCGGAAGGAAGTTCTGAACACCCAGAGAGTCCCCAGCGGCAAGCCCCCTCTTCCATCTCTGCTTGACGCCAGGGCCCTGCTAACTGGCTTCTCTGGCCCTCCTGGGGGTGTCAGTCAGGGACTCCCACGGGGACACCTCTGACTGTCCACGCTTCCCATGATTGCCGAGGGGTTGTTTGTTCCCAGTTCTTGTAGGATTTGGTGCGTGTGCCGGTCTGATTCACTAGATTCGGGTGGCTGTGGCTTAGCTTTCTTTTTGTCTTTTCTTTTTTTAAAGATTTATTTCTTTTACATACATGAGTGCTCTGCATGTACACCTGCCTGCCAGAAGAGGGCATCAGATCCCAGTGTAGAAGGTCGTGAACCACCATGTAGTAGCAGGGAATTGAACTCAGGACCTCTGGAAGAGCAGAGAGTGCTCTTAACAGCTGAGTCACCTCTCCAGCCCTATGGCTTAGTTTCCATCTGTCAACATCTGTGTGGTCTTGTCACCAAGTCATGCTGGAGATGTAGGGTTTATAGTTTGTTCTCTGTGAAACAGTTGTCACCTTTTTGGTCAGGCTGAGGACGGGAATCAGGCCTGTTGTCACTAAGTAGGGTGGGGATAATGGTGCAGAATCTGAAGACACACCTCCCTTTGAGATGACTCGTGCCCTCTCCTGTGGCTGTGACACACACCGTTCTGTGCCCACTCCCTGGGGCACTGCTGTCCCTTCCTGCCCCTGTCCGTGCCTGTGCTATGACAGGCATAAACAGTAGAACACTGAGCGCTTCTCTGTGTATCTGCTTTTCCTTTCTTTCTTCTTTCTTCTTCTTTCTTTCTTTTCTTCTTTCTTTCTTTTTCTCTTTCTTTCTTTCTTTCTTTCTTTTTCTCTTTCTCTCTCTTTCTTTCTTTCTCTCTCTCTCTCTTTCTTTTTCTTTCTCTCTCTCTCTCTTTCTTTCCTAAACTTAGAATTGTATTTGGAAGAGGGTTCCCTGGTACAGAAAGGCCTGTCCTTTTCTTGGCGTGGGTACCCTGTGGAGGGACATGGCCAGGACTCGCCTCCACGAGACTACCTGGCAAGCTTTGGCTGCATATAAACAGGACACGATGAGGATGGCTGGGGGGCGTGGACCCCTGCAGAACTCTCCAGGCTGTGCTCTTCTTCTGTGAAGCCATGGAATCAAATTGGCATCATGTTAACTGCAGGTAGCTGACATGCCGGTCCGTGCTCCTCCCCCGGTACGTAGGGTGGGAGCGAGTGGCCATCCATGTAGACGTGGAGAAGGAATGTGTGCATAGAAATGTGCTCTCATGCACTAGCACATTCCGATAGACCTGCAACACCCACGCAGTCGTGACCCAGGGGCACCCTTGTTCTTCCTGCGCCCTGTCGTGTGCAGAGGCACAGGGACATGTGTCCTGGTGTCTGGGTCTCGGGTCACTGAGCCTATTTTCTTCTTGCTTTTGCTGGTTTGAAAGCACTCACACTGTGTCTCCAGGAGTCACAGTCTGACTTGGGAACAGCACATGGTTGAGCCTAGTAAAGTTACTCAGGACGCCCGTTTACTTGGCTCCTGGAAGGGTGTGACCTCAGGGAGCTTGAGCCTCGCCCAGCTCTATTCTGGGATGGAGTGTCAGGTGTGGCCCTGCACTCACTGCCCGCTGAGAGCCCTGACAGGAGAAGCCCGCCCCCCCGACACAGTGCCCACATGTGTGGAGACACTTACGGCTCCAGAGCGAGTAGGCCAGGCGGCAGTTGATGCGGCGGTACAGGTGCTTGCTGATGGGCCAGAGGGCCAGTGTGCACAGCTGTGTGAAATTGATGATCAGCCCGCTCACCACGAAGACGAAGCCGATGAGCAGGTGCACCACGAACTGGGTCTTCAGGTAGGCAAGCAGGCCCATGGTCGCTGCTCAGGGGCGGGCGCACGGTCCTTCACTGAGAACAGCCGTCCTGCAAATGCAGGGCGCAGGGGTCAGTGTGTGCAGGGACTAGGCTGTGGCTGTGGCTGGGCAGCACTGTCCTCATTCAGGGCCCTGGGGAGGAGCCTGGCTCAGAGACGGGCTCCCCCTGGAAAGCTGAGGAGCAAACATTGTGCTTCTGTGCACCTCACACAAACACAAACATTACACACACTAACACCACACACACACACACACACACACACACACACACACACACACACTGGCTTTCTGAGGCTGGACTATTAGCAGCATGGCCAGCTACCATTCCCTAGGGACATAGACACAGCAGGTCTCAGTCCTGTGATGGAGACTAGACCTCATGCTATATAGGGAGGCTCAGCTCCAGCCAGATCTCCAGGTGGCCAAAGCCTTGGAAGATTAACTGTGACTAAAAAAGAATCCCAACCCACTTGGCTAAGTCACTGGGCTCTGGAGTAATTTGTTAAACCAGCAAAAGATGATAAGGACGAAAACACAACAGGGACAAGAGGAACACTTCTCAGACACAGCTGTGCTCCAGGGCCTGTAACAAACACATCTCATCACAATTTGTCAATGGTCATGGAATCCCATAGAGTAGTTGCTGTGTGTTACTTGTGAGTGACCTAGAGGACAGGAAGGCTCAATAACCTGTTCAGGGTCACACAGGGGCCAGCAGGAAGGGATTTCAGTGTTGACTTTGAGGCCTGAGTCTACACTCATGTCCCAAGGCCAGTTCTCCCTCAGGAAAGGCCTATGACCATGTACCCGACACCCCGGGAACCTCAGAGACCCCTCTCACACTGTACAGAATGGGCCTGCATAGACCCGAATACATGAGGCAGCGGGGTCTCCACAGCCGTCACGTGACGCTAGCCCAGCTATGTCAGCTGTGACCCAGCAGCCCCAGAGGAAGGGACAACCCTCGCCATGCCTCACTCCTGCTCATGTCATGGAGTCTCATCTCTGTGCCTGAGCCAGTGGCTTTGCAGCTTTCAAAGGAGATGCCCAGGCCCCATGCCACATCTCCAACCCCACAGCCAGGGCCGCAGACACAGATTATAATTTTTTAAAAACGAATGTCAGTGAGGTCTTACATAGAGTCACAATGCACTCATCTTTGGGTAGCAAGTTTCAATGACCAGGTGGCCAACACCACTACACAAAATGAGCCATGTAGGCGGGTCCCACCCTAGGCCCTGGCTGTGTCCATCACTGTTCTGATAGCTTGGCTTTCCTCCCCTTCTTTTTTAAATTTATTTATTTATTATGTATACAGGGTCTGTCTGCATGTACACTTGCACGCCAGAAGAGGGCACCAGATCTCATTTTAGATGGTTGTGAGCCACCATGTGGTTGCTGGGAATTGAACTCAGGACCTTTGGAAATGTAGCCAGTGCTCTTAACCTCTGAAACATCTCTCCAGCCCTGGCTTTCCTCTTTTTCAAGGTGTAGAATGGCACTGTTTGGGCCCAGATAGCCTGTCATCACACTGCTGAGCTCGGCCCTGCTGCACGCAACAGCATTTCAGGTGCCCGCTGCTAAGTCCTCGGCTGTCCCTCATCTGATGATGCCTGGGTGTGCCTAGCTGCCGGGGATCAAAAACGATCCCCACATGTTCATGCTCCAGGATGTGAGGATGGCTTTCCTGAGCAGCCTCCTCTATGTCACACAGTGAAGGCTTCCTGCTCTACTGAAGGAATCTCTCAACTAGAGAGCCTGTGCGGAATCCCAGGTGAGCCCACGCCCACCCTCAGCATTCTATCCCGTCCCTATAATGCATTGCCATCTACCACATTCACTTCACTGGTGTCCCCGATCTACCTTCAAGGTCGATGTCCCTGGGTCTAACCAAACCTGAAGGGGGAGATGGACTTAGCCAAATGCTAGCCTGGAGCTCAGCTCAGGCACTGAGATAGCCCGAAGCTACTCCATAGCCCAGGATATCTGCCTGCATCGTAGTCATCCACCAAGAACTACCTAACAGTGTCCTCAAGGCCATCTGATTTATCTCTGTTGCACATCACCGACTACAACCATCACTCTCGACTCCCTAATGATAGACACAGGGCCTGCGTTCTCAAGGCTGGTCACACTCCCTTCACCCCCTTCCCTGGACTGTTCCCTTACTGCTTTTTTGACTTCAGTGCTGTAGACAAGAACACCACTCAATCTTCACATCAGCTCCTGCTCTGCTCTGCTCTTGGCTGCAAAATTTCTGGTCCATCAGAACAGATAAGTGTGGGGAAAGGCCTGGATTCAGTGACCAGAGTGTTGGCCCAGGTGCCTTCAAAACAAATTGTTTTGTTTTGTTTTTGCTTTTAAGGCAGAGTCTCAGGTAGCTAGCTAGCATAGTACTCAAAGAGATCCACCTGTCTCTGTCTCCAGAGTGCTGGAGCTTAAGGCAGGCACCACCATGCCCAATACAAAGTTTTAAAAAGTCCTGTGTTCTCAGACCATTTCAAGTTGACACCTACATTCCAAACCAAGGTTTAATTATGCAGAGTGTATAGAATCTGGCGTGCTGTGAAACATGACTTTTTAAAGTGCAGTTTTAATTTTCTAAATGCAGCCATAGACACTGACCAGACTGGAGATCTGGCATCCCCATGAGTGCCTCACAATCTCCCTGCGGACACTTCCCTGCTTGCTCCCTGGCAGTGTATTTCCACAGCGTTTTTGCTGCAAGATTTTATCACCACATGGCCTACCAAGAGTCTCTGGCTTGAAATTATGCTTGAGGGCTTTTTTATTGATTTCTGTGACCTACTGTCCCAGCAAAACTGTGAACCATTTCAGCCTCATTTGGACACTTTTGGCACAGGCTCAGAGGTGAGGCAGCTCAGACCTCAGGACTCCACACTTGAGCTATCCTGTGAGCTGGGACTGCCTACTTGCTAAGTTGTGATCAAAGCATGAGCTTGAACCCTGTGGCAGCAGCACAGGACATCCACCTGAACCTTGAGGACACCTCCTACCCCTTCTCAGGGCTACACAGCCCTGTACACTGCAGGTCTTATCTCCAGAGTTCTGAGCCCCTAAATTGCATAGCGCTGTCCAAGGCCTCACATGCCTCACACAGGCTTCCTGGCTCCCTGATCTGAGATCTGGAAAACCTGCAGGTCCCTCTCCTCACAGCCAACTTCCTGGTCACAGTTAGTCTCCATCCTCCCACCCTCCAGGAGCCTCTCCGTCATCCTTGGTCTCTTTGCCCGGCTTCCCTAGGGACCACTTCCCAGAATGCCCTCTTCTCTGTCAGAGCACTGTCTCTCCAGAGATGGCCCCACCCCCACTCCACCCCACCCCCGCTCTTCACACTGCACCGCATGGTTGAAGGGTAAGAGTCTTTCAGAGAGCGTGGTTGGCATTTAGCAGGCAAGTTTGCAAAGGGAAGACACTGGAATATGGAAAATGAGCTGTTTGCGATGCTGGAGACCCAGTCACAAGGAAGACTTCTTAATGTGGGTTTCAGTGATTGATTTCCAGTTCACAGGACTGACACAGCTGTCACCTTCCTTCCTCTCTCCTTCCTGTCCCATTCACCCACATTCATTTTCCATCTCCACTGCCCATCCCCTACCATGGCCTGACTGCAGCAGGAGGGCAGGCTGTGTGAAGTGTGAAGGGCTGGGCCAAGGGCATTCCCTGCACACCATCCCCCATCTTTGTTGTTGTGTGGTAAACTCAGCTGGTCCAGAATCAGCACACGCTGGAAGAGAATCGCTAACAGGGATGAGAAGGGGACATGCAGCAGCGGCAATGGGACAGCACCTCAAAAGGTCTAAACCAGGAGTAACATTCACTATTCATAACTGCCAAGAACAAAAATATAAAGCCCGACCTTCTGGGTGTGGAAAAGCAGAGTGTGCTCAGGGCAGTGGCCCCAAGGGCCCTCACCGACACCTCCACCTTCCTTACACAATTGGACAAAACTGTGACTTTATCGCCACACCTTGTATAAGCGTTGGTGAGAAGGAAGTGGGAGGGACACAGCAGACGGACTAAGTGCTGGTGGCAGCTGACTGACATGGCTGCACTGTGACGTGTCGCTGGGGGCAGGCCTGTACCTCACCACAGGGACAGACCCTGTTCCTCGGGGTGTTTAATTGGAATGGACATGAAATAAATACTATCCACAGTCCTTAGGCAAACTCGCCAGCAGACCATCTGGTCTCGCTATGATGGGAGATAAAGCGTGAGCCCTTGCCAGGTGGTCCGGTCTCACCAGCCTCTGGAGGGAAAGGTGTCTAGCTGCGGTGCAGGAGGAGGTGCCATCACCACCGTTTGCTCCCCCTGGCCAGCACTGTCACACTCAGCAAGAGGACAGGGGTACTGAGCAGAGGAAGCGCAGCACACAGAGTCCAAGCTGGCAGGGATGTTGTGCGCTTCTGGTAGTGCTGGTTCCTGGTAGCCCTGCTCAGCCTGGTGAGTGCCATGCAGCTGGTCACTGAGGAGTCTCCCAGGGTCAAGCTCCAGCAGCTCTGCTGTCTCCCGGGCTTGACCCTGTGGCCATGTTACCTTTGGGGCGGGCAGAAAGTAGGGGTCTAGAACCCCCAGGACCAGAAGTTTTCTCTGCAGCAAGTGAGGGTGTGGGCTCACAAGCGCTTAGTGACCAGAGAAAGACATAGCAGCCCCTCATGTGTCCAGGCTATAGGACAGTCTGGACAGTGCACACACACGACACACAGAACAGTGTGTGTGAAATGTACTGAGAAAATCCAACTGAATGAGGCCCCGTGCACCGGGTAACCGGGAATCTCTCTGAGCATGTGCTGAGTCAGTCCACACTGCCACTTCCAGATGTGGGCTGACTCCTGGCCCAGGACCTGGCCTGGCTGCCTGGGTAGTAATGACACAACTTCTGGGGTTGCCTACAGAGACCTCGAAGCCTACTGCGGTCTTTGGCCATTAAATGGGCACACTTAGTGTCAGTCTACTGGATGGTGAGCCCAACCTAGCCAAAGGTCACTAGACCACAACCGTGGGGTAACTGTTAGTGAATGAGAATGA